GGCTCAGCGCCGGGCGAGGACATGGCTTGGGAACAGGGTTTTCCCAGGTGCAAGCAGTTCATATAGATTTTTAGACGGCTTGTGCAGTCTCTGAGGGGGGAAAGAAGACGGAATTTTAAAGAAAAATAGTTTAACTTTTCTATAATAATCACAGGTTCATAGTACAGCCCCTCTCATCTCAGTCACTAATATTAACATACAGATGCCAGCACACATTTCATATACCACCTCCTGTCCTAGGGCAAGTCCAGAGTAATTGAGACTGATGGTTATTTTTCTTCCTATACCATATTACGGGGAACAGTAAATTGTCGTGACAACTAAAGGTAGCTATGTCACACAGCTTAATGCTAGTAATCTAAATTACCCCAACTTAATCGACATTCCTAGTGGCTTTCTAGGGCTGTGTCTGACATAAAGGAGCCTGAAAATATCAATTAAGAATAAAGCATAACTAAGTGGAAAGAAAGAAAAATGTAGTCATTAAAGAGGATATTTAGCATATGGATGATGCACTTATTTAATATGTTCCCCTCTGTTACTTGTCTCTGTTTAATCAAACCCAAATTATTATTAGTACTTACAAAACCAAATAGAGCAGCAAAGGCTCCCAGACAGTTTTTGCTCAGATATGCCAAGTAATTCAGTCTGACTCTAAACTGGTGAATGAATTGTGTCAGTCACGTACATCTTCCTCACAGCTTGGTACTTTCAGGAAGACGATGTTGACTTGACCGTTACTTTTCAGCCAAAAGCAGTATGCCACTCCCTGAATTAGTGTCTTTTCTTAGTCTCCTCTGAACATGTATAGAAGAAAGGTCTTGAAGGTATGATATAGTAGCAGAATACTCTGAACATGTATAGAGGAAAGGTCTTGAAGGTATGATATAGTAGCAGAGTAAGAAATGTTGCACTCTAGTTTATTTATAGCAAAGTTGTACTATAAATGTAATGAAATATCCATTTTATGAAAAATATTCCAACTTAATTGAGAGAACAATGAATAAAACAGCATAGATGTAGATTAAGAAATTTCCATGGGTGAATGTTTTCTAAAGTTAATAGTCTGTATTTTTTATTTAGCACTGAATACCTGTACTAATTACCATGCTATGTTTTTTGTTTGTAGATCCTAGTAAATGTGGGCAATTTTTTCACGTTGGAGTCGGTCTTTGTAGCACCAAGAAAAGGAATTTACAGTTTCAGTTTTCACGTAATTAAAGTCTATCAGAGTCAAACAATTCAGGTACGTTGATCAAGTATGATTATAAAATCTTTTACTTAAATTATTTATTTAGAATAAGATCTTGACTGAACACAGGAATATTTAACACACTTTCAAGGAAAAATAGCTTAGTGTAAAGCAACCTGTGGTGTAGAGTTCCTAGCAATAGAGTGAATACATTTAACCTGAACAGCTGTAATAAGGCAAGATCCTCACCTCAGATAAATGGCCATAGCTTCACTTCTCTGCCATAAGAGCTGAATATCTGGGGTGATATAAAGTGTTAAATAGAATAAATCATCCAAGAGTAAAATAGAGATCTAAATTTCACTTAATTGCTATTGAAGAGTCACATTTTGCTGCAGGTTAAACTCACTGTCTCGAACACAGAAGTTCTGGGGATACATACCAGATTTTACTATTTTCGTAACGTTTTGTGACCTGGCTGACAGCTCATGATGGCAGGTATCTGTTTATGACATCTGTCTACTGTGGGCCAAGGTTAATTAAGGTGGTCTACTTGTTCTGTAACTACACTGAAATGTTTTACTTCTATAGGGATATCTTCTAGGGAACCTTTATGACAGTTTAAACTTTTTTTCACCTTATAATACATGAAAGACGTGTCATATATTAGAAAAAAAAGGGGCGATTCTGCACTTTCTTCTGTAGCTTAATAGCAGCTGAACTACTTAATTAAATACGAGTATGTATTAGCTTAGAAGAAAAGTCTGTAAGTTCCTGAGCATCCCCTTGCTGAGCCAATGGTAAAGTTTTTAAAGTACATTCCTCAATCTTCAGGCCAGGTCATGCAATTTCTGTGACAAACATGCTGGCTTTCTAGATCTGGAATCTAGATATATGGCTTCCCTTTTTTCCATCCATGAGACTACCAGATGCACAGAAGTAGCTGATGCTTTTCCCCTGATCTGTCTTGCTCCTGGATATGATTTTCGGTGTACAAGGCTGGGATGAAACTGATTTCTGCAGGAAGAGTGAAGTGCTGTTTCTTTGTGGCAGCTCTGGCTTTCGGTTGCTGGTTGCCGACTCCTGAGGAAAGTGTAAATGGTAGAGATGGCACAGAGAGCTGGTGTGAGACACGTTCACATCCCTGGTGAAATTCGCCTCTAGGTTACAACAGGAAATCATGGTGCCATTCAGGTCACTGACAAAAGTCTTAGATGAAATATTGACCTCATGAAAATCTCTATAACGAGCTTATAAGCTATTTAATATGCTCGAACTTTGTTCCTTTCACTCTCTGAAATGCTGAAGGTTTGAAACGACCTAAAATAACTGTAGGTCAGCCAGCTTCATTGGATTTAAAATATATATTGCCAAGAAAGATATCAAGGCTTGGATTCTGGAAGTGCAGTGCAGACTTTGGCATCTCGCATACTGGCTACTCAAACCTCAGAGTTTGGGACTCGTAACAGGGAATGTTGCAACCTGCCACGTGACCTGAAATCTTTCATAGATGAAGAGTTTCTAAAGTGATGGATGAGTTTTCTTGGCTCTATTTTGGCATAGTTAAGGTGAGGCCATCTGGTGCAAACCTGCGATGTGTCTCCTGCTGTGATTAAAATAGCTGTAAGATGATGTGCAGGGCAGCGTGACCTAGTGAGATGGTACAGAAGGAGGGAGATAAACCAAACACTGAGTAAACTCGATGCCCTTTTTTGGCATGTGTGAAAACTGGGGAGGAGAACCAAAAGCCATTGCAGTGAAGCAAACCAGCTTGAGCCTCAGCCATACGCAGACTTAAACATCACTAAATCACCTGAAGGCTTCCTACATAAGTGATATTACTATGCCCCTGGAACATCTGTTAGTGCCATTAAATATCATTAAACTGAAATCGGTTCCCTGGGGACGTCTGATTAAGTGGATTTCCCAGATAGGCGAATCCCAAATCAGGGCCAGATTCTGCTGCCCTGACTTATGCTGAGCACTAATTTATTCCGTGGTGACTCCCATTAAAATTAATGGGAGCATATGCAAGGCCAGCATACTCGATATGAATAAGCATTTCATAATTCACCCCTCTGTGACTGCGTTATAGCTGCTTAAAAAGAAAAAGCAGAAGAAAGCTAATAGTTTGCCATTGGGAAAATGAAAAATGCCTGGATCTGTCCATTCCCCCAGCCCCTGCCCGTCTTTATTTACAGAGCGTCTGTGTGATGTTGCTTTCAGCGCAGAGGCTGTGCTGACTTTCAGAAGTGTTTTATAGAAAAATGGATTCAGTACCAAAACACAGTGCAGTGGTTCATGAAGCTAAAGCCTGATCTAGACTTTAAAACTAAGCCGCCGTCGGTAATGGAGGGGACATATATTTTGCTGTCAATGAAGCGTAAGCTCCCAGCCTGCTGTGGTACCTTTGACACCTCATTAGGTGCCTATATCGCATCTCCGGGTGCCCAAGTTTCTTGAAAATGTCTTCTTTGCTAGTGTGTGTCTAAATGACCTGTGAGGTAGGAAAAGGGCAACAAAGTGAGGTAATGGCTCACAGTTCCATATTACCAGAGTTACAGCAGTTAATGTGCCCACGCAACAGATGAAAGCAGTGCCGTGTTGCTGTTCACACATGCCCGGACCATGGCAGTCAGCGGGCAGTGTCCCACCAATTCACTCAGCAGGTCAAGCCCATGAAACATGAACATGCTTCTACACTCAAAATAAATGTAATTATTAGTTTAATACACACACACACAAAAAAAAAAAAAAAAAAAAGGCAAAAAAAGCAGTGAATATTGGAGCCTTAGCAGACCTTTTACACTGTAGTTAATATTCAGTGATAGTTCTCGATGTTTTTCTGTTAATTAGAGCTTTTCAGTGGTTTTTCTCTTGTAGGTTAATTTGATGCTAAATGGAAAGCCAGTCATTTCTGCTTTTGCTGGGGACAAGGATGTCACACGTGAAGCTGCCACTAATGGAGTCCTGCTCTATCTAGACAAGGAGGATAAGGTTTACCTGAAGTTGGAGAAAGGTAATCTGGTCGGTGGATGGCAGTATTCTACGTTTTCTGGCTTCCTGGTCTTCCCCCTGTAAAGTCAATTTTCCTGTGACATTCATCCAGGTGTGGACTCATCATTGCCTCTGTTACATGAAGATCATTTTATCATCATGGGATTGATGTTTCTTTATTGGTTTTTCATGGGTGAATATGGATTCCCTTTATGGATTTTGGCCCCATCTGAACTACTCAGAAGTTTCACAGAATTTTGTGTGTTTAAATACAATATATTTGGATTGGGACTGAAGCAGACAATAAATATCTATGCTTAATGTTACAGTCTAAAGCTGCCTGCAAGATTTATTCAGATTTCATTTACTGGACTTACTGGATTCATGGGAGAAGTGGATTTTCTTTAATTATGAAAAGACTGGCAACCAGGTCTATAATTTAGGAGAGTTTGAGTTCAGACTTCAATCAAGAGTTAGTGTGTTGCTGCCAAAGAACTGTATATTGATATATTGGTCATATATGTTTTTGTCATTGGGACTTAACTGACATGATCTATTCCATTGTCTTGAGAAAGGTAATTATTATTGACAAGTGGTTGACTTTAGTTCTCTTCTGCGTGTAGTGTGTTGGATGGTTCATCCATATATTTATGCTCTGTCAGCAGTCACAATCGAGTCTAGCCTACATAAAGCTATGAGGTTATGGTTGTATTTTAGTTGGATATGGAAGGTACTCCTCTTTTCCACATGCTGTTTCCTAAAAAGAAGAGCAGGTTATAATCATTAAGAAAAATATTCTTACCAGGGTTAAAGGTGATCATTCAGGCACAACTTTGCATAACAGCTTTGCCCTGCAGGAAATCTCACACTTGTTCTTCAATTTTAATTAACATGATTGATAATAACTGCTTTATTAAAAACCTAAGGGATTCCTTCCTTAGACACAACCACTTTATTAGCTGGAGATGAGATCCCCTTGTTTGTAATTATGTCTATTTTTCAAACCTTCTGTTGTGTTAAAGGTATCATCTGGTTTTGCCTTAACTCCACAACTGTATATAATTTTAGATCATATGTTTAACAAATATTAAATCCAAATAGCCGGTACCTAACTTGGTGCAATATCTTTTCGGCTTTTTGTACAGGTCATATGAATTCATAAACTTATTTATTATAACATTGTTACATAATAAAGATTAATATATGTTAGCTGAATTTTTGACCTTTGGATTTTGGAAGTCACTTCATGCTATTTTTTTATTGGATATAATTATTATATGCAAAGTGTAAGCTTTTGGGATTCAGAGAAACCGTCCTGAGAGGCAGGCAAACTGTTGTAATTTAGTTTGGCAGAATCCTAGAGGTAATCAGAATGATCTAGAAATAACCTATGCATTTTATTAAAAAAAAAACAACACATTTAGGCAGAAATCCTGGCTTCACTGAGGTTAGTGTTAAGAATCACATTGATTCCAAAGGATTTTGGATGAGACCTGTGCTTTAGGTTTAGCCATCAGCGTTAAACTCCAGTGCCATCAAATTGAATATCAATTAAAAATGATTTTCACATGAGCTGCTAATGAAACCTTCATCCCTCATGCCCAAAATACACACTGAATTTGATGGATATTTGTGCCTTGTGTATCATGAAGGATATGATTCTAAATTAAAAAAATACTATATACTTGAGAATGTTTCTGCACATAAGCAATCTGGGACCTTCTCTAAAAGCCAGTTTAGGCTTAGATTTGCTGTTTTAGGTGATCAGTTTCAATTTCTTCACTTGTTAGCCAAGTGCAGTGTATCATACTGCTATAACCGCTGCAAGTGGATATTTCACTGATTTGAAGTGTAATGCATGGCTGCTTGATGCTCCTGATAAAAATGTCAGGGAATCAGTGGCACAGAATTGTGCCCAAACTCCTTATTTTTCTGGGCCCAACATAAAGGATTTTTGGGGGATTTTCAGGAAGATAGGTGGGTGCATTTGCACTCCTATGGGATAAGTCAGATGAGGAGGTAATTTGTTAGACACAGTATCGTTTCTGTACAGAACACTGCAGTTTGGGAGGAAGTGGAAAGGCATGGCAAGAAGGTGAATGATTTACATTGCTGAAAAATAGAAAAAAGTTTTCTATTCTGATTAATCAAAATGTATCACCATTGTATCCGAAAACTGTGTACATATATGTATATTTTAAAAACCCCTGAGATTGCAGCATATAGTATGCATGATATTATTAAAAGTCTTTTTTGGCATAAGAGTTTATTTCAGAGGGGAACATCAGTATTTTTTTATAAAATTGGTAAAATCTGAAAGCTCACCTTACCTGTTGATATATATGTAATATAAAGGAAATATTGTTATTACACAGACAGAAGAAAAATGGCATTAAAGGTGTCAGTATACTTTTCAGAATGATCAAATGTATCTAACTTCTTTAGTTTGTAAACATACCGTCTTTAACAGCTTCCTTTAGTATTCAGCAATAGTACTGAACTATCTTAATATACTGTTGATTTCCCCTTGGCAAAACATTTCTGATTGCTTCAGAGTCATTAACAGTTATTTAACTAGAGAGTCTAGGAAGTTGGTTCAATGACGGAGATATGTTCTGATGGAAACGTCCTGAATTTTTCTCCTCGGCCTCTAAAATCAGAATTACTAGTGAATTATTTTGCTAGTTAAAGGAAAAAAAAAGTTTGAGAGAAGTCACTGTAAAGCAGCTCCTGTCATCTTCACCCAACGCTGAGCACTGACTCCACTCAGAGGTGGCCTCTGGAGATGGGCAACTGCACCCCTGTTCTCTCATGTTTAAACATTTAATCAAGAACGAACTATGGTTTTTTAGACTACAATTTGAGCTGCTTGCCAGATCTTGAGCTCATTTTCATTATGTTGTCCCACACCTCAGTTATGTCAGCAGGAGTATTCCCCAGAAGAGATAAGCTAGCCTAGATGCAGCCGGGTCTGGAAACTATTGTTTTTCTTTCTTCTCATTCCTTTTCCTTCTGTCTTCTTGTGTTAATGCAACGGTAGTTTTATTTTCAGAAGCAACAGCTCAGGAGACACTTCAAATTTCAAAGGCTATTTAGGATTTGAGGTTTGATTTTTTTTTTTGTTTAAAGAACTTTAAACTCCATTGAGCTGCACAGTAAAGGTTAGAGCCGAATTTCTGATCCTGTTGAATTTGATGACACTAGTCTTTATTGATTCTGGTGAGGGCAGAATTTCCCACTCTGTGTATCCCTGCTGCAGAATATGCCAAGGATCTATACCCACATCCTTCAACATATACACGCTTTGCAGTCAACTTTGTAGATTATATGAAAGGTTGAGCATGCAAGAAAACTTTCTGGCCATGCATGGTAAAGATAAAAAAAAAGTTACTTTCTGAGAATAACATATATTGTTATTATCGCTGATGTTTTTACAAAGGAGATCAGTGTTTTTTATCTATATTTTATTTATATTTCTATTTTATTTCTATTTTATTATAAACCCAGGGAAAAAAAGAACCATATTGTCCTCCTCAGATGATGTAAATGTTTTTGGTATAGCCAGGAACATGCTGGTCTCCTAGATTAATTCTGTGTAGAAAGCTGCTCTGTTCTGTTGAATTCTATTTGCTTGAGTTTAGACTACATATGCCAAGTGACTGCAGAGCCAAAAAAGATACTGTGCAAAAGAGCCTGGGTAATGCAAGTGTTTGTGGAAAAGACACTGAGGTAGCTTTGAAAATTTCACAAGCAGTTTTGTCTTTATGTAAAAAGGAAGAACTAACTTTGAAACATAGAGAAGGAAAACATCTATTTCTTTTCTTTTTTTTTTTTTTTAAGCAACATTTTGTATTTGGTTTGTGTTATGTCATTTTCAAATAGTATCAGAACATTTTCTGAGTGTTAACTACACTACTTTGGCCAGGTCATGGCAGAGTAAATGTTGCAACCTCAGTGTTAACTACTGAGAAAATGGAGACAGGGTTTGGGAAACGTCCGGTGCTTGGTCCTGCTCAGTTCGCTGGATTACTCATTTTTCCGATACAAAGCATTTTTTTTTAAAACAAAGGATGTTTTTTGAGTGAATGGCATATTGCTGTATTTCCTCTTCCGTATTATTTAGATGTCTGTTTCTAGAAAGATGACTGCAGTGGAACAGGACAGTTTTAAATGCCCTAAGAAACTCACAATTAGCTATCAATCAACTCTGCGTTTTTTTTTTCCCCCCCCAAACTTCCAAAGGAACACATCTGCAATATGTACAGTATTTTTACAAGCAGGTTTTAAGATAGAGAAGATAAACGCAAGCAGCAGTATGTCATAATCACAACAAGGAAGCCAAACCATTAACATGAAATATAGCTGAAGCAGAGAAGCAGATATATGTTCTCCTCCTTTTATAAGGGTTTCTGAGTTGGTAACATGTTTTACCTTAGCAATTTGTTACAGTTGCCCTTCATATTGTAAGAGCTCTTTATAATATTCAAACTCTTTGTCTTCTAAAGACAATGTTAACCAGATGACTCAATGTAAATGAATGAAGATCCCCAGTGACAGAATTTATTGGCTGGCACATGCCACAACAACATATTTTTTGTACTATTGCTGTCCTTTTCTAAGGCTCCTTTGAGAAAAGACATTGTCTTAGACATGGAGCTAAAGTTATTTATCTGTTGCTGGTTAGGAATGAGGGGGAAAAACACCACTTTCCTACCCTAGAGCACTAAGGGGAATGCATACAAAGAATAATGATAAAATCAGTCACTGTTATATAAGGGATGATGAGAATAATGGAAATGTGGCTCGAATAGTCTGTTTAGTGAAAGCTGCGATCTAAGGCGTTTGATGGAAGCAATCATTATTTTAATCTTCACAGTTTGGAGGAAAGGAAAAAGCCCATTGCATCATTTTTAACAGATTCTTTTCCTTTTTTTTTTTTTTTTTTTTTTCTTTCTGCCTTGTGGTTCTACTTAGCTGCAAAAAAAAAAAAAAAAGAAAAAAAGAAAAGTTATCAGAAATAATCTAAGAAAGAGAAGAGGGATGAGGGAATTTTTTTTTTTTTTGTGCCTGACGTGGGGGAAAAAAACAAGCAGGAGAGGGGGAAAATCACAAACTTGACTTAACCTAAATACATTCTTGACCTATCGTCCAGTTCAGTGAATTGCCTAAATATGTTCTGCTTATGCATAATACTTTTCTACGATGCATGATACTGACCCACCCTGTTAAGGCCACCATATTGTAATCTGATGGTTTTTAATCCTGCTGGAGGAAACTAGATGTAGAAGTGTGGTGCAGAGCACTGGAGGTCGGCAAATAAAACAGCTTTATCTCTGTACTTACATGTGTGCCTGGATTTACTCCTACGAAGCAGGTCTGCCATCCCTGGGGCATTTTGGTGCAAAGGGCAAGTGTGTGTCTGAACATTGACACCTGGAAAACAAGCTGAGAGTGTGGAGATTTCTGAATTACTGCTGACACAAGCGAAAAACTATACCCTAATCTCATTGTGAGGACATTTAAATGCACTGTATGGTCCTAATGCTGAAAGGAGGCAGATCTCCACGGCACCTGGGCAGAGTGACCAGAGCTCTGCAGAGAGGACAAGACCTGCCCGTGGATGGAGGGTCTGTATTGACTCAAGTATTGGGGGCCTCTGTAGAAGTCTTCGAGCAGTGTTGTGTGAGTCAGGCATGCTGTTAGCTGTTCTGGAGTTTAACTCAATTTAAAAATCAATATTTGGGCTTTTATTTTATCCCTTTCTTTGCAAACAAAGCTCTATTTACAGTGAACATATGGGATTTTCAAACAAAGACAGTCTTTAAAATTAATAGCCTGAAAATAAACTTGAGGAAAAGTTAGTTCTAAGTATACAGCAAGGCTAAATTTCTCTTAAGTTGAAGGCATGCAATTAAGTAGCAAAGCAAATTAAAATAAAGATACATCTGTGCTCCACTGCACAACTAAACATAAAGGAGCAAAATTGACTCTGGCGTCTATCCCATGGACCTGCGAAGCAGCTCAGAAGCTCAGTACAACGGTGTAGCGACTCGTTGCACTGGGTAGTCCCACTGGGCAGCCTCACCTGGCCGTGCTCGCACGGCTTCTGCTAATGAGATGCATTATTTCACGAGAAGGTAATTAGTGCGGGTGTCGCAGCATCCTCCTGGAACATCAGGGCTGGACGTGGCTCTTCCAGAGTCTCTCAAGCAC